TGAGCTCGCCAAGGACTTCATTCGCCGACTGCTGGTCAAGGATCCTAAGTTAGTAACAGCCAGTGTTGTTACTAAAGCTATTAAAGTTATGTAATAAAGTAAATATAAAATAAAATGTAAATATTAGATTAAAAATGTAAATGAAAAAATAATCATTTTAAGTTGTTGTACTAAAATTACTAAAACTGAAAAAAATAAAGCTAAATGGAAATATAAAAAACTAATAAAATTGGACAAAAGTGCATAACGAAATTACTAAAATCTTTACTAAAATTAAAATGAAAACTGAAAATATAAAAAATAAAAACGAATTCAAAATATTAGTAATTATAAATAACACTAAAATAACTCTGTTGTAAGCCTCATTTGTTTAATATGAAGCAAATTTCATTCCCGTTTGTTAATATTTAATTTAATATTTGCTTTTAACATTCAGGAAGAGAATGACAATCGAAGACAGTCTCCAGCATCCCTGGATCAAGGTTCGAATGTTTCTCTTTTCCTCCCTCTTGAGTTTAGTAACCATCTGTGCTGTGCTTGACTAGTTCTCATCCCATCCTCCCCCATACAGGTGATTAAGAGGCGTAATGTTCGGCCTGAGGAGTGCGAGCGCAAGACAGAGCGCAGGCGTCTGAAGACCACCCGTCTGAAGGAGTACACCATCAAATCCCACTCCAGCATGCCTCCCAACAACACCTACATCAACTTTGAGCGCTTCTCCCAGGTCATGGAGGAGATCTCAGTGGCCGAGGAAGGCCTACGAGAGCTGGAGAAGAACCAGCGCTCCTGCGCTGAGGACGTGGCCGCTCTGCTCTCCATCTATGAGGAGAAAGAAAGCTGGTACAAGGAGGAGAACGAAAGCATCGCTGCAGATCTGAATCAGATCAAACAGGAGCTGCAGAGAGCACAAGCCCTGCGCAGACAGAGCCAGGAAGAGGCCCGCGCCGCCATGCTGTCAGCCAATGCCCTCAAACGCAAGTTTGGCCGGTTGGAGAACCGCTACGAAGTGCTCGCTGAGCAGATGGTCTCCGAGGTGCGCTGGGTGGAAGAGCTGGTGCGCTCGATTTCAGCTGAAAATGACACTCGCAGC